TTGAACGATTTGGTGCACTTGCCAAAGAGATTAACATTGAGTTTTGAAGGGAAAGAAGGAAGAAGTGAAGAGTAAGAGTTAGAGGGAGCTTACATTTTTATTTTATTATATTCTTGCATGTTTGTGCATGGTGACTCAACGAAAAGTGATGAAAGGTAACTGTGCATAGTTGTACCAAAGCTAAACTTCACCAGGGATTTCAAAGGAAGTAATGGGAAATGACACAAGTATACTTCATTGGGGTTTCCAAGGAGAGTAATAAAAAGTGACACTTGTATTGTTAAGACAAGATCATCTATAAGTTCGAACTGTCTAAATATCCTCATATGTCTTGAAGTTGATCAAACAACAATAAACGAAATGAGCGTATGAAATAGTGTTATCTTGGAAATAGCAATGTAGCTAAAAGATAAGTGGTTTATGAAAAAGCTTTGTGAAAACTAAATACCATGAGAAAAACTTTAGTAAACACATCAATACATGAACAAACACACTACTAAACGATTCCCCTTTTAAATGCCTTAATGAGAGTCTTGTTGAATACACTTGTATTATACACAATGCTTAAACAAGCTCTCAATATGTCTTGATAGATAAACTGTAAAAAGATGTTTTTGGAAGGTACGATAAAAGTCTTAAACGATGATCCAAAAACTTCTGTTGAAAGACACCTTGCTAAACGCGTTTTTGAATGGAACAAAGATAACTTGAAGAAGTGTTTTCAATAAAAGCCTTAGATAGGCTAGACGATACCTTATGCCAAACAATTTCTTTCATCCAACGATGAAATCTTCATAAAATACTTGGTATCTTAGTTAAACTGTCAATTCTTGCCTAAACGATAGAAAATATGAAAAACACTTTGTTATTCTGAATATGCATTAAATGCACAACGTTTAAAAACAACAAAAACGATAAGAAAAAGGACATATATGCCTGCATACATATCTACTCTACTCTATGCATATTACCTATGTCAAGTATCCATGGCTCCATCCTATACAAATCAGAAGTGGACGTTAGAGACAAAAAAGACATTCACAAAATGTTCTCTCTATCAAAAGTCGTGCTAGAACATTCGTACAACCTACTTTTGATATTTGGACTGAAAAAGAACGTATGCTCTGATAAGTTAACTTTAACCAGTGGTTGCTACCTACAATAAGGCTAAGAAGATCCAAAGATCAAAGCAAAATACTATCTAACAAACATTTACTTGAAGCCTATAAATTGAAGAAATGAGTAAGAGAGCACACGAACAAAAATAAAATATATGTAAAGAAAAGCTCAAAAGAAAAAGAAAATACTCCCAAGCTTCACAGAATCATAAGCTTACTGTTGTAAGAAGAGAGAAAAACTCTAAGAGTCTATTATATTGAATTGTATTGTTTATACATCCTCTCTACGAGAGTATTCATGTAATGACATGTAAGCAATCTGTTTGATTGAAAATTCTTAAGAGAATTCAAAACCTTAACGCTTAACTCGCTAGGGTTAAACGATAGCTAGACGGGTTTGTCTAGTGGAAACTAGGAGTGAGTGAAACTCAACTAGATAGTGTATCGAGAAGATACCAGAAGTGTCTAGGGATACCATAAGTGGTGAAGAATATTACACAACCAGGAGTAGGTGAAACTCAGTTCTAGTGAAAGTAACGAGAGTTACTTAGAGTGACTAGGTGATACTAGAAGAGGTAAAAATACTCAGTTGTAATCTTGTTGAAGATTATAGTGGAACTCTCTAAGAGGTCTTAAAGGAGAACTGAACGTAACTCGGTGGAGTGAACCAATATAAAAATAACTATGTTTATTGCCTTAATCTTACTAAATATTTCTCTTATAAACCCTGCAGATGCGCACTATCTTAATCATTATAAATCTTGTCACCAAACACTATTTTTATTAAGAGTTGGCTTTGTCAAAATGCTGTAGAAAATTTGTTTGAACGATTGAAAAATATTTGTTTGAAGAGCCTACAGTTTGAATATAACCTTCAAGTTAAGGGGATAATAACTTACATATAAATCTTTCTAAAGGTTGTTAAATTATATCCTTTGTAAAAATTTTCCTATAATAATATTCAACCCCCCTCCCCCTTTCTAGTGTTTTCTAAGTATTTCATGTAATGGTAAGTTGCGTGCAATAATTATAAATCGGCTTTTAATGTTGATTTTATGATAGTACAAATGTTGAGGAAGAAGCACATAGTTAGGAAAGAGGTCAATATCGTTGAATGTTTGAGATAATCTTTTAATCTTATATTTTTCCTTCTCAATAAAGTTGGTTTTGTAAAACAATTTATTTTTTAATTGAGATTTTCAACAAAATAAGAATGAAGTTTTATTTTAAATTATTTAATTTGACTTAATTATAGATTTTAGAAGGAAAAAATTTGGTTGTTACACGAAAGGTTGAGCTCAATCGTCTTGGACCATAGTTCAAGCAAAGTTGACCAAGATCGAATATCAAACTAAGTCGTCCCAATTGAAGGTCAAATTGAGTTGGTCTGGGTTAAAGGTCAGACTAAGTCAGTCCAAACCGAAATTTAATCAAGTCGGCGCTAACTGAAAGTCAACAAAGTCAACCTCAATTAAAGGTTGACAAAGTGCTTTACTAAAAGTTAACTCAAGTTGACCTATCTCATGTCTAATGGATCCAATAGTCATATACATTTTATTGATCTTACTATAGTAATCTAATTGAAAATATAAATTATCCAATAATTAAATACATTTTATCCAATTTAAATGGAATTAAAAATGATCTTATAGATTCAATTCATTTAATTAAATCTAGATTGGATATGAAAAATTCAATCCATACTCATCCTTACTTCAATGAAAAGTGCAGTAAAATTGAAAGTAAGACTGAAGGTGTAAAACAATCTATATTTCCGAATGAGAGATGAAAGTAGAGGTCATTTAGTCAAATCAATATCTATGTTATGAATGTATCCAAATATTAAACTATACTTAATTGTTTACTTAACCAATAATTTGATTTTGGGCTCGTTTATTTACGTGAAAAATTATTTTCTAATGTTACTTTCATTTTTCAATATAAAATAAATCCGTGATTAAGATAAGAGTACTTTAGGCAGGGTAGAGTCTTTGAACCGAAGGTTTAGGAATTGTAAGAAGTAAAAGAAACTAAGGTTGTGAAGAGTAAAACGAGAGGTTCAATAAGTCACTAACCCAAGAGCTTTTCAACGGAGTAGGAAATTTCTTTCTCAAATATTCTATAAAATAGAACCCGCGATTCCTGTGAACACCACGGCACACGGCTTTAGATTCGTAGTTCACCTTTGCTTTTAGTTTCTTTTAGTCATTTTCACAAACATCTTTCGCTCAACGTTAACCGAAGAAATTTGGGTCATTATATTCTGGCGCTCTGTCCAATTTCGAAAGATTGAAGTGTGCATTGCTTATTCGTCAGCCATGAACAGAATCGGCTCTAGATTATCTCATCTCTCTGTTGTGCTATTACGCATCAACCATAACTCACTCATTGTTAATCGTTGTCATGTAGTAGAACAGCCCCTTATGAGTGAAGCTTTCAATTTCATTAATCCTTTTAAGTATGACAGATTTTTAGCTCTGCCAAATTTTGGTTTATCAGTCAGGTCTTTTTCTACTTCATCTTCAACCAGAAGCCCTGGGGAGGCAACTGATGCCCCCGCACACGAGGCCTTGAGTGATGAAGATGATGGGGGTGGGGATGAGGATGATGATTATGATGATGGTCATGGCAAGAATAAAGATAAGAATGATACCCATTGTAATAAGTTACATTTAAGAGATGATGGTCTTGCCCCAGATGTTAACATCATTTTGGATATAATGCAGGAGATGGGTTCTGGACCATCTGACATTAAGCAAAAGCTTGAGAATTGCAGTGTCGCGCTATCACAAGAGCTGGTTGGGGAGGTCCTTTCAAAAACTCGCAATGATTGGGAAGCGGCTTTCACATTTTTCTTATGGGCTGGCAAGCAGCCTGGGTATACTCATTCGGTTCGGGAGTATCATTCTATGATCTCCATTCTCGGAAAAATGAGGAAGTTTGATACTGCTTGGACCTTAATTGAGGAAATGAGAGGAGGTAGAACTGGCCCATCTCTTGTCACTCCACAGACATTGTTGATCATGATCAGGAGATACTGTGCTGTACATGATGTTGCAAGGGCTATCAATACTTTCTATGCTTATAAACGGTTTAGCTTTCAAATCGGGCTAGAGGAATTTCAGAGTCTTCTTTCTGCCCTTTGCCGGTATAAGAATGTGCAGGATGCTGAGAACTTACTGTTCTGCAACAAAAATGTATTCCCACTTGACATTAAAAGCTTTAACATAATTCTGAATGGATGGTGTAATTTGATTGTTAGCACTAGTCATGCAGAAAGAATATGGAAGGAGATAAGCAAGAGAGGACTCAAACACGATGTTGTCTCTTATGGAAGTATCATATCTTGCTATTCAAAATCTTCTACACTTTACAAGGTGCTTAGGATGTTTGACGAGATGAAGAAAAGGAAGATCACTCCCGATAGGAAGGTTTATAATGCTGTGATTTATGCTCTAGCAAAGGGTAGACTTTTGAAAGAAGCTGTCAATCTCATTGGAAAAATGGAGGACAACAACATCATTCCGGATGTTGTTACTTACAACTCCTTGATCAAGCCTCTTTGTAAAGCTCGCAAAGTTGATGAAGCTAAACAACTTTTTGATGAGATGTTGAAGCGGAGTCTTTCCCCAACAATTCAAACTTTCCATGCTTTCTTCCGTATGTTAAGGACCAAGGAAGAAGTATTTGAGCTCTTGGACAAAATGAGAGAGCTGGGATGCTACCCAACCAATGAGACTTATATAATGTTGATAAGAAAGTTTTGCCGTTGGCGCCAGCTTGATGATGTATTTAAGATATGGGATGCAATGAAGGAAGATGGAATCGGCCATGATCGTAGTTCATATATAGTACTGATTCATGGGCTGTTTCTAAATGGAAAGCTAGAAGATGCATTCAGATACTATGCAGAGATGCAAGAGAAAGGCTACCTACCTGAACCAAAGACAGAAGAAATACTTCAGGCATGGGTTTCTGGGAAACAGTCAACGGAGGGCCAGGTGACAGATTTAGAACCTAATCGATATGAAAATGATAGTTTTAAAAATAAAGTGAAGGACATACCCAGTAAATTTGATAGGGAAAAAAATTTTCTTCGCCAAGCTGAGACCAGAAGAGTAACAAGAGAGCGAGGTTTTTCTTTGTTGGATTAAGACGAGGTCCGTCCAATGACACTTTAATACTATACCTTTGAAGATGACACTTATGGGTCAGCATACCTCAAATTCAATTTTATTTACCCGAAGGAGGTGGATGGCATGCGGGTCTATAGCCAGACTTCAATTTCCTCATCATAAACAAGAGCTGCAAGGTTAGTGCAATGCAAAGACATCCGAAGTTTGTTTATTGTTATAGGATTTAAGACTTTTCGGTTAAAATTTAGTCATATAAATTTAATTGCTTCTTTACTAGCGGTTAACCTTGGTGAATGTTGTTAATACTAGAGCTGAACAAAAGGCGCTTGAATGTATTTTCATGAGTTTGGTATTAATTCCGCAAGTGCATCTAGAAACTCAATCTACTGTTGTGATTGTTTAGATTGCAGAGAAAAATGTGAATTGATAGTTGCTTATTGGTCAGTTTATTATACAATCTACTTTAGAAGTAAAATTAACACAAATGAAGTTAACACATCGACGAAAGTAATTAATTACTTTATGAAATTGCACGAAAATTTTAACATTGATCATGACTTGAACTTTCTTTAGTTTTGTTACGCAGCAGGGTGTAACAGAACATCTTTTATTTCGTGCCTTTGGCCCTGTGATTTAAGATCTCCTGTGGCGTCTGTTTTTATGTAGTTAGCGCTTTTGTCTTACGGGTTGTTAAAGTCCCTGCAAACATGATATTTTCCCATGAGCCATCACTCAACTATTCTGGAGACTGGAGATTATTTGATCCTGGGGTTGAAGTGACTGAGGCTTCATTGCTAGAACTTAAGCCTATACCTGAACCCCTGACCAGGTCTCAAAAGAGCGTCATTGTCAATCAGGTAAACTGGATTGTTGATTACATAATACACCGTGGAAGCCATGTAGTTGAGGGTTATTTTGGTGCCCTTTCTAATTGTTTTTATTTTGGACCTTGTAATATAAGAATAAATTTGTAATGCTATTGCTATCTAATCAACTCTGTATGAAGATTTTTCATGATGACAGTTTGCATCCATATAGCATGATTTAACATTTTTCTATTAAACCTTTCGATGGAGGGTGTTAAGAAGTAGATTTTAAGCTTAACTCAATCTCGCAAAACTGGTTTATAAAGTAAGGTTTACACCCACATATATACTATAATCCAACACACACCCCTCTTGCCGAGGTATATACATCTCAAGCATGAGACTTGATATTAATGGATGGTTTGATAGCGATCCAATAATAGGCGGAACAATATGCTCAACAAACAACAAATCTTGTTAAGATATGTTTTAATAATGATTCTAATACCATGTTAAGAATTGAACTTTAAGCCTAACTCAATCCTACAAACAATAAATCTTGTTAGGATAGATTTTAATAATGACTCTGATACCATTTAAGAAGTGAACTTTAAACCTAACTCAATCCCACAAAACCGACTTGTAAATGTGGCATCCACATAGGTTTCAACAAACAACAAATCTCGTTAGGATATGTTTTAACAATGACTCTGATACTATGTTAAGAAATGAACTTTATGTCTAACTCAATCTCACAAAACCGACTTATGGATGTAGGACCCACATGTGTACTATAATCTAATATACGCTACGCTGCCAGATGCATGGTCTATTATTCATGTAATGCACCACCCATAGAGTAGAACAGGGAGTTCGCGAAAGAAGGTTAGTATTAGTGAGGTGCATGAGTGAGCTGACTGTGTGGAATCTGTAACTTTGATTGATACGTGGGTTCTTACTAATGGTCTAATGGTTCTTAGTGGTATAGGTAACTTTAATTGTGGGTGAGGTTTGGGTGATCAAAATGAAGAATGTTGAGAGAGACTATGTCGTTCTGCAAAGGTTACGAGAAATGAATGAGAGAAAAAGGAAATGAACCAGGACAAGATTGGTTCTTACCAACTCGACTAGTTCATGTAGCTTGGGATAAACTTTGATCAACCTCTAGCTCCCACTTGGATAAAGCTAATGAACACCGCCAAATGACAGGAGGACCTCTAGCTCCACCTTGGATTAGCTAAGGGGCACTATCGAAGAAAAACAAGAGACAACCACCATTTGAACTTAGATCAAGGCCAGGAAAAGTTTTTCAAAATCTGATAATATTTCGTATGTCTTGATTACAACTATAATGCACATGCATATATATATCATGCAATCACACTCAAGAAAATGCACTTATAATCCTGTGAACAATTCTCAAGAGAATTATCAATAATTGTATAAACACTTTGTAAACACTACGCTAACATGATGTATTTAAGAAATCACAAAGTTTAAGAAAGTAATCACTTGACTCTGATGGACCGCAAATACTAGAATCAATTTTAAGCAAGCAAATTTCACTAAATAGCCTTGATTTTGATGTTATAACAAGAATGATGTTTTAACAAATATTACAACTTTTTGGAGAGTTTCTTGTATATGTTTGTAAGTAATAGATATGAAAATAATTTATAATTATCTACAAGAATTTTGAAAACAGTTTATAGAAAACATTTTTACGTAACTTAATCGATTGCATTAAGTATTAACCAATAATTTTGTTATAAGTTTTCTAGAAATGCAATTGGAACAATTTTTGATTATGCTTCCTCTATTGCAAAAGCATGGATAAGCATAAGTAGATGGATGATAAATTATAAGATATAATGAATTATAAGTATAAGGTTGTTAAAAGCATTTTGATACAATTGAAAACATAATCAAGCATATTAAAGAGACATGTATCAACACATCACCCATCTTCATTGCTTCTCTCTTTAACACTTTATCTAAATCCCTTCATATCCAAGACTCTAATGGATACAAGGTTCTTCTTAAATCTTGTGACATATATGATGTTGGTCTACATAAGAATTATAAAATATTTCAAAGGGAGATAGTCTTAAGCAAATGAAACATGTAATAAAAGATGGTAATGATGACCCCATTATCACATATCATTTGTAAATTGTAAAAAGTTCATTAATCAACAAAGATTACAAGTATTTATTACTATCACTTTTATTTACAACGAGTATATAAAATCACTAATGATTATTCGAATACAAAATGTCTCTTTAGATTATATGTTAGTTTTCTTCTAAGATTAAGCATCAAGTACATAATGTATTTGCAAGTTGAGTACATATAAAACCTTTTAGATGATATACAAGATTTTTTAAATACTATGTTCACTCTCAACAAAGGGGACATAAAATATACACTCCTTGCTTTAAAGACTTAACTTAAAAAAAATAAAAGATATACAAATCCAAGCACATTCTTTCTTACATCTAGGAGACAAGCTATAAATTAAGCACTTGAAGGTTTTGATTGTGCAAATAAAGTTTGCTTATTGTAAATATAATCCTTACTTTTTTCTGCATGGAAAATTTCCTTTTAGCCAATGTCTAGAAAGGAATGTTGTAGCTTGTTTGTTTAAAAGTTGATGATTTTATGTAGATTCTTCTACATTTGTAGTATGAAAAGATATGCAAGTCACACTCTTTATCTTTTTTGTGCTTATACTTTTGCTAATATCGTACTGACTAAACTCATGCAAATGAATGATACTTTGTTTCAAAATCTTCTTCGAGAAGTATTCTTTGTCAACTTTGTAGTTATTGGACGACATTACATCTTAGAGAAACCTCATTTATTAAGCATTTGAAAAAAAACATCTAATCTACATGACTTATTACTAAATTTCCATTGTCATTCTCTACAACTTTTTATTCAGTTAGTACTTTTTCTTTGTCCAACTCTTGTTCTTTTTCTAACACTTTTATTAGACTCTTCTAGTTTAATAACACTTCATGTGACTATGTTTGCATGCATGTGACACTTGTGTAGCAGACTTTGCTATATACATCTTATCTTCGTGCGACTTCATAAAGATAAATGTGAATAATGACTTTCAAACTAAGATTTTCATTTTAGTAGCACTAAATTCGTCTATTCTTTAACGAACACATACATTATTTATTTTATAGAAAGATAAAAGGATAGTAATGAATAGTTCTATATTTGTTGTAAGTTAAAATTAGCTTGACAATAAGAATATTTATAATAATTATTAGTTACAAAATCCTTCATGAATGCTTAAAAGAGGTTGTCTATGAATATATGGAAGATTTGAAAAAAAACTTTTTAAAATGTTTTTTCAATAATCCCATTAAATCTATTTCAAAATTTTCATAGACTCTAACTTTTGCGAAGTTCAAGAATTATCGTAGTGCTAAAGTTTTGAGGATTTCTTGTGAAGCAAGATTGTATGATACAAAAAAACTGATCGTTCTGCACAAGAAGGTGCTTACTTCGTGATCATAAAAGCTTTGGCAAACACTGAGAGTTGCTGGTTTCCCTGTGGTGTATACAGGAAGAAGAACGTTGTTCTTGACTTTGAGGGGTATCTCAAAGGGGTTGACAGTAGAAGAAGATTGTTCTTGCTGCTTGTCTGTTTTGTATTGCCTATACTTAGATTAGTGAGTTAGAGAGGTGATTTACATTTTGACGTGAGGTTGCTCTACAACCCTTGGTGTAAAAACTCAGATCTATATAGTGCATTAGCTTCCATCTTAGGTTGTGTGAAAGGACACTAGATGTAGGCAGGTTGGCCGAACCAGTATAAACTGTAGTGTTTGAATTTTCTTATCCTTTCTCTCTGCATTAAGTCGACTATACTATCATTGTATTCAAATACGTTTATTGTTTCATTACATATAAATTTACTTGCCATTCAAGAAAAGTTTAAAGACTTCCTATTTTTGCGAAAAAGGTTTTAAAAGAAATCATTTTTACACATCACCAATTCACCCCCCCTCTTGGTGTGAGAAACAAAACACTTCTTTTTTAATAATTGGCACCACAGCTGGTTTTCAAAAGATATTTGAAAAACAAATCGATTATTATTTTTGTCTAATCAATTTTATCCTGAAAATGGCCTTTGCTTCTCAGACATTTGGTGAAGGTGCATTAACAAATAGACCACCTTTATTTGCTGGTGAAAATTATGCTTTCTGGAAAATCAGGATGCAAATATTTCTTAAATCAGGGGATAAAGGTGTATGGGATGCTACACTCAATGGTCCATTTGAACCCACTCATGTTGTCAATGGAAAAACTGTTTTAAGAAAATTTCCTGAGTGGACTCAAGATGAGAACCGGAGAGCACAATATGACGTTAAAGCTCGTAATGTAATTGCCTATGCTCTAACAATGGATGAGTTTTTCGAGATTTCCCAATGCAAGACAACAAAAGAAATGTGGGAAGTTCTTGAGGTAACACACGAAGGAACTGATGAGGTAAAACGTGCCAAAAAAATTCTCTAGTGCAGGAATACAAGATGTTCAGGATGAAGGCTGGAGAGACTATCTATGATGTGCAGAAAAGATTCACACACATCGTAAACCATTTGATGGCTCTTGAAGATCCTAAACAGAAGCTGGCATCCAAAGGTAACTGCTATATCAGAATCTAAAGATTTGACTAACATGAATATGACAACCTTATTTGGCATGCTTAGGGAGCATGAGCTAGAACTTGGTAGATTGAGAGAGGAAGAAGAAATTGAGCAAAAGCAATCAATTGATCTCAAAGCTACAAACAAAAGATCGTCCAAGAAAGCTGAATCTAAGGCTGAGTCAGATGTAAAAATGCCAGAAAAGGAAATCATGAACATGATGGTAAGAAAGTTGAAAAAATTTATGAAGAATAGAAATACTGCAACTGATAATGTAGGTTATTCAAAAAGAGGAAAGAAGAGTTCAAAGAACAACACTATCATATGATATGAATGCAACAAGGATGGTCATATAAAATCGAATTGTCCAGAAGTGAAAAACAGGCAGAAGGCTAACACCAAGTATCCACAGGATAAGAAGAGCAAGCAGAGAAAATCTTATATAGCCTGGGAGAACAATGATGATGATTCATCCAGTAATGATGATTGCAGTGTTGAGGAGGAGTCCGATCTATGTTTCATGGAAGGTTATGCACACT